GTCTTAGTAGTATAGTAGATTGAGAAGATGGAAAAATGAAAGGTATTATAAAATGCCCACGTAAGTGATATATTTGCTTCCCACACAACCCTGTGAGATAGAAAATTCAGAATAGCAAGTTTAAGTGAATATACCAGCTAAGCACCTCTATTTATATCATTTTAACCACAACAATATTGTGTTCACATGAAACTTCAGTGGTTTTAATGCAGGACATATGTGGTGGTTGTGATTCCAATAAGAATTATTACATTTAACTTTATAGCCACTGATGCTAGGATTTAAATTGATAGAAGCTATTATTAGAAATATTGATGTCTATCTCCTTACCAGACAAATAATCACTTTAAAAATACTCATTATAAATTTTACCTTTTTGTTTAATTTTATTATTTGAATGCAGGATATATTGTGTGCTAGGCATTCCTTTAAAATTCACTTAAAGTGTGAGATATTACCTCCATAATTGCTTTCCTCTTAATCTCCATGAAACAGAAGACTTTATTCAACATTTAGGTGTTAGTAATTGACTTAAATAATAGAAATTCAAAGAAAAATTATGCATCTTACAAAGATCAGAGACTAATGGTCCATTTAAACCTGTTTTATTGATTTATTAAACAATGTGTCAAATCCAGTCCTATAAGACTGTACATGGTATTATGGCAGGGCAGAAGAGAGCTAACTAATCCATCCTGACAGCAGAGAGCAAAGAGGCTTACTGAAAAAGGTCTTATAAAGGTAAGGATCACTTGGTCAGATAGACAAGGGGTAGCTCGAGCAATAGCAGAGGTTGGAAATAACATAATGGTGATGGGAACTGAATGCAGTTCTAAGTTAAAGTTCAGAAAGTGAGGCAGGGCATGCGAAATGTTGACACTGAAGATGTGACCTAGAGCCACATAAGGAATAGCCTTGGTGTCTTTTTAAGGAGCCTGAACTGTGCTTTAAACTAGTGATTATTAAAATGTGTATATTTATATTCGTATAACTTATATGTATGAATTACTGTGAGAAGATAGTTTATAAATAACATATACAGGTATCTATACTAATAAAAGTGTAATATGCTAATTAGGGCAGACGTCCATCTGGACAAAGCCACAGCAGCTACGAGGCCAGGGCTCAGGCAGCTGTGGGCTCAGGCAGCCTTGAGCCCTGGTGGCTGAGAGGCCTGGGGCTTATAGCAGCCATAAGCTCTGGCGGATGCGAGGCCTGGTGCTCATGGCAGCTATGGGCTCAGGCAGCCGTGAGCCCCGGTGGCTGCGAGGCCCGGGGCTCAGGCAGCTGTGAGACCCAGTGGCTGCAAGGCCCAGGGATCAGGCCTCGCAGCCTCTGCAGCCAGCAGTGGCAGCAGCAGCGGGGTGATGGGGGTGGTGCCTTCGCTTGATCAGCCTGGTCGCCTCTTGGGGAGGGAGACCAGACTGCAGCTTACACCTGCTCCTCCCAGGGGTAGCGGGCCTAAGCCGTCAGTAGGACATCCCCTGAGGGCTCCCAGACTGTGAGAGGGGGCAGGCCAGACTGAGGGACCTCTCTCCAATACATGAATTTTCATGCACTGGGCCTCTCTGAGTGGCCAGATTATTATGACCACTCCATCAGCACTTCGTTGGGCCACCTTTTGCCTTCAATACTGCGGCGATTCTTCTTGGCATTGACTCCACAAGATGTTGAAAGGTGATGTGAGGAATCGGACATCATGCCTGATGAATAGCACTGTCCAGTTCTGTGAGATTTGATGGTTGTGGAACCAACTGCCTGATGGCTCTTTGAACTTTGTCCCACAAATGCTCAATTGGATTGAGATCTGGTGATTGTGGGGGCCACCTAAGCAAGGTAAAGTCTCCCTCATGTTCTTGAAACTACTCCTGCACAATATGAGAACTGTGGCATGGTGCATTGTCTTGGAAGAAGCCATCTCCATTGGGATACACCATCAACATGATAGGATGAACTTAATCAGCAACGATACTTAGGTATGTTGTGCTATTCAGATATTGTTCCACACGAATTAAAGGGTCCAAATCATGACAGGAAAACATGCCCCAAACCATAACACTGCCCCCACCAGCTTGAAGGGTTGTACTCATGCATGTGGGGTGCATGCTTTCATGCTGTTTCTGCCCAATTCTCACTCTGCCATCTGCATGATGCAACTGGAAATGTGATTCATCGGACCACATGACTTTTTTCCAATGCTTGACTGTCCAATGCTTGTATTCCTGTGCGAATTGGAGACGTTTTATCTTGGTAACTGCAGACAGCAAAGGTGTTCGAACAGGCCTTCGGCTTCCATATCCCATACAATGCAGTGTATGGGGCACAGTGCGTTCAGAGATCATTTGAGAGGATCCCTGATTAAGATCTGCAGTAATTTGATGCACTGTTGCCCTTCCATTGTCTTGTACCAGTGTTGCCACTCTCCATTATGCCCTAACATTGACTAGTCACTGACGGCCACAATTCGCATGTTCAGACCCAGATTTTGGGCTGACAGTCCAGTCTTTAAACACTTTAACAACAGCTGCTCTTGAACATTTAACGAATTCAGCTGTTTTGCTGATACTCGCTCCATGTCTCCAAGCGCCAACAATCATCCCACGTTCAAAGGCTGTTAAATCACATTGTTTACCCATATCTTCAGGAAAAAAAAATCACTTCTACTCTCGTGGTAAACACCCTGCTTCCCTATTTATAATGGTCTGGCCCTCTAGCAACTTTAGCATGAAATTATAGCTAATTTGCCAGCAAATGTCAGGTGGTCATAATAATCTGGCCACTCAGTGTATATAAAAGCCTAAGTGACCTAACGACAGAAGGACCAGTCAACTGGTTGCTATGATGTGCACTGACCACCAGGGGGCAGACACTCAATGCAGGAGCTGCCCCCTGGTGGTCAGTGCGCTCCCACAGCCAACCACTGGTGGCCAGCGCGCTCCCACAGCCAACCTCTGGTGGCCAGCCAACCTCTCGCGGTCCCTCCCCCACTGGCTTGCTCCCATGGCCCTATCCGGACTGGGGGAGACACCCCCAATGGGCCTCGATCACTGGCAAGGCCGAGGGACCCCACCCATGCACGAATTCGTGCACTGGGCCTCTAGTGAAAAATATAAAGGATATTGTAAATAAGAAATAATAAATTTTGAATTATGAATGTATTGATTGAGATTCTTATGTGCAAACTGCAGAATCTACTCTGGCTAATTTAAGGAATTATAGGATATTGGAAGGCTCTCTGGATTTTTGGTATGATTGGAGAACCAGGCTCTTTGCAGGCTCTTAACCAACCATAGCCACAGGGCATCACCACTTTCTCCAGTGGGTACCGCTGACACTTGGCCAGATATCAGCCACTGCCGATGGAGAACTGAGCAACTCTGCTGCTATGTTTCCCAGAAGACTGTTTTCCACATTTGTGACTCTGTGGGTACATATGATAGACAAGCACTGTGTTACATGCTGTACTGTCTATCAGGAGAAATAGAAATGTGAGTGTTTTTGTAGTCTACCTTGGGAAGGTAAGACTCATAATGTAGGAAATTATCAAAATGAGGTATAGTGAGAGTATTCAAAAGATTTGAACAGCCACAAATGACAGATATTTACTACAGTAATACAAAATACCTCTTTGCTCTCATGAAAAATACAGTTGTTATTGATAATAATCTAATTTATAAATGCCTTTGGTAATCATGATACTTTATGCTATCAGTACCTAATATCTCAATCCCAAAACACACCTAGAGAGGGATCACATTAACAATACTTGCTATAAATTCAAATTTTCTTCTTGACAATACCACTTTTAGTTGTTTTCATATGTTATCTCAATGCATCACTATTATTTTTAATTTATGTGACTCCTAAAGCACACATATAGATATTTTCTTCAACGTGTGGATTACTTATAGGGGGTCTTTTAAAAAGCCCCTTATCCATTTTGTGAAACTCAGCTTTTGCCTCTATCTGATATCTGTACCCAGGGTGCATGAGTTCATGGAATGGAGCACAGGTAAGCAGCAGCACTGCATCACAGCAGACTAAGAACCAACCAGTAAACGATAGAACTGTGCTCTCCCCCTTTGCACTCAGGAGCCCCATTCTCCTTCAGGTGACCCTGCTTAATCCTTACTTCTGCATCATATGACACATTGACTAGGTGACAGTGCCCATGTTAGCCCATTTTACGCATTCTTCTTTGGATCAAAACCAAATATATTCAGAATTTCAGGATGTTTTTTTATGCCTCAATGGATTTCTCGTGTGTCCCATGGGGCCGGTACATTCCACTTGAGAATCTACTGCTTTGGGAAAGAGAACTCTTTGAAGAGTGTTAAGGAAGAGAGTGGCATGGCCAGATGTGAACTTTTGACCGTTGGCCCAACTTTAGCTGGTGAAGTTGTATTAAGAAAGACCAAAGTCAAGAAGGCCAGATTGTACTGGCCAGATACTGTGAGGTCTGACAAGAGGGATGCTGTGATAGAATGAATCTCAGTGTTCAAGATTTGGTGAATGATTGGAAATAGTTACTAAGGTAGGACAAAGAATGAAGGATGACTTTATGGTTTCTGACTTAAGCACAGTTTTGTTTTGTTTTCTTTATATTTAGAATAAAGGGTGAATTCTTAGGTGCTATGTGACCCCTGATGACTGTTTCCGGAGGGGATGAAGGGGGAGGCATGGGTAATGTTATTCTTTCCTGATACTATGTAATGTTTGTATCAGGGTTTCCATTCAGTCTATATATATATATATTCCCCCCAGAACCCGAATCTGCTCAAGACACTAATTCTTTGCAAATACCAGATAAGGTTATTCTCAGGTCTGCATTCAATTCTTATTAATATTATTTTCTAAAAATGGACAGTGAATAACTTTTCATCATAAGATCAAAAGAAAGGATTGTCTTCTGAAAGCACGATTAGGGTCACATGGAAATGAGGTGACTAGCATTGTGCAACCCGTGTGGAGTTCACTGCTGCTGCATGTCTTGCCTTTAGCTGGGATGACAGCAGTTCGGTGAGCAGTGGCCTCAGCGACACCCTCGATAACATCAGCACCGATGACTTGAACACAGCGTCCTCCGTCAGCTCTTATTCCAACATCACTCTCCCTTCCAGGAAGAACACACAGGTGAGAGTCACCTGCTTTCTTTTTCCAGTGCTTTTGCCAGATTTTACCCCAAATTATTATATATTAGAAATAAGTGTAACATAATCTCCTAATCTGAAATAATTGCATAAACTGAAGCAGCTTGTGTGTATATATATGTTCTATTGGTTAAAATCTAACCCAGAAAGATGTATGTTGCCATATCTCTCTTAATAATATGGATATAATTTTTTAAAATCTAAAAATATTTTAATACTCTAAATTTGAATAGTTGTTGATTAATATTATATTTATCTCTGAAATAAGTTACTGGATCTCTTGAGGATGGTAAATCAAGAATAGATATTAGATAGTTAAGTTTGATCTTGTCTTACTTTTTCTTGTTAGATTTGACATAGAAAAAAATGACCTCTTCTCTAAAGTGTTTAATTAGGGTTTTCTGCACACATATTTATGCTGACATTCTCTAATATGTACAAGTGATAATTATGTGGCTAAAATTTGTGAAATGTAAATGAAGACATAGAAAAAAATGAGAAAGTTTTGGAATTCTTTTGAAATATAAATCAGTGTTTGTTTGCTTTCTAACCAGTTGACGGAATATAAATTTCAGTGCCTGATTCACACTTTATAGATTTTTCTGCACAAAGTTTTTCTGTAATATTTTCTTCATAGCTGAAGACAGATTCGGAGAAACGTCCCACCACGGATGAGACGTGGGATGGCACTGAGGAGCTGAAAAAAGCAGAAGAAGACTTCGACAGCCACGGGGATGGTGGCGGCAAGTGGAAGGGCGCTTCCTCAGGACTTCCTGAAGACCCTGAGAAGGCAGGGCAGAAAGCCTCCCTGGCTGTTTCCCAGACAGGTTCCTGGAGAAGGGGCATGTCTGCCCAGGGAGGGACATCGTCTAGGCAGAAAGCTGGAACAAGTGCTCTCAAGACCCCTGGTAGGCTTGTCAATGGGCAGCTGCTCTGCAAAAGTGTTTCAATGTATTGTTTCCATTTAATCTTCGTTCTCTTTAATAATAGCTTTCTTTTTATTAAATCACTAGAGGCCCAGTGCATGAATTTGTGCACCAGTGGGGTCCCTTGGCCTGGCTTGTGGGATCAGGCCAAAACTGGCTCTTCGACATCCCCTGAGGGATCCCAGATTGCGAGAGGGTGCAGGCCAGGCAGAGGGACCCCACTGGTGCATGACCAGGCACAGGGAGGGAGGCCGGAAGTTGGCCAGTCAGGGAAGGACTTCGGGAGGGCTCCAGGGTGTGTCTGGCCCGTCTTGCTCAGTCCTGATCAGCTGGACCCCAGCAGCAAGCTAACCTACTGGTCAGAGTGTCTGTCCCCTGGTGGTCAGTGCATGTCATAGCGAGTGGTTGAGCAACCTTAGCATATCATTAGCATATTATGCTTTGATTGGTTGAATAGGCGACTGGACGATAGGACACTTAGTATATTAGGCTTTTATTATATAGGATTCTTCCACATATCTATAATAATCTAAGCATTCTCTAGAAATTACTGTCATATTTGGAGTTATTCAGTATCTTTATTTTGCCACAGCCATTTCTCATCACATGGTAGTAAAATAAGGCTGTCTAATTTTTTAAAAAGAAGATTGCTTTCATTCTGACTGCCTTGTGAAAGTTTGGAATAGTTATGTTAATGCCTCAAAGTTTCACTACCAACTCTGAGAGGCAAGATCAACCACTTTAATCTAATGGGTTAGAATGCTGGAGATTTGGAACATCATTTATGAATTAAACTTTATGAAAGAATTCTTCGAAACTGTAGCATCCTTTTTCTTTTCCCCTAAGACTCTCTCCCTACTTTTTAAATGGTGCCTAATTTTAAATAGTGCCACCTGAAGTACTGAGGTACCAGGGCACTCCAAATGTAATCATCTCACAGATATTCAAATGAACTCTTTTTCTAGTACTTAACTTTATTGGGTGAAGTGCTACCCGTATAAAGGAAGAGTTGCAAGATATACAGCAATAATAAATAGCATAATTATGTGTTTTCAATGATTTTCCTGATCTCTCACCACATTTGTCTAATAGCCCTATTTTTGCAGCTTTTTACTCGATATATTAGAGTGTATTCCTATTTAGATCTAAAAAATATAAATATCTAGGAACTGAAGTCATATAAAGATGTATTCACCTTTGACAGATTCTTGAAAGAAATATCATTATGAAATCACAATGTGCAGGCCAATAAATGTGTGTCTTTCTCATTAACTAGGGAAAACCGATGATACCAAAGCTTCTGAGAAAGGGAAGGCTCCCCTGAAAGGATCCTCGCTGCAGAGGTCTCCTTCAGATGCAGGGAAGAGCAGCGGGGATGAGGGGAAAAAGCCCCCCTCGGGCATTGCCAGGTCCACTGCCACGGGATCTTTCGGGTTTAAGAAGCCAAGCGGAGTAGGGTCATCCCCCGTGATCACGAGCAGCGGAGCCACCATCACCGGTGGATCGGCCACGCTGGGTAAAATCCCCAAATCCGCTGCCATTGGTGGGAAGTCAAATGCCGGGAGGAAAACCAGTTTGGACGGCTCCCAGAACCAGGATGACGTGGTGTTGCATGCTAGTTCCAAGGCCTCGCTCCAGTACCGCAGCCTGCCCCGCCCCTCCAAGTCCAGCGCCAGCGGCATCCCCGGCCGGGGCGGCCACCGGTCCAGCACCAGCAGCATCGACTCCAACGTCAGCAGCAAGTCAGCGGGTGCCACCACCTCCAAGCTGAGAGAGCCCACTAAGATTGGGTCAGGGCGCTCCAGCCCAGTCACTGTCAACCAGACAGACAAGGAAAAGGAGAAAGTGGCCGTCTCCGATTCAGAGAGTGTTTCTTTGTCAGGTTCCCCCAAATCCAGCCCCACCTCTGCCAGTGCCTGTGGGACACAAGGGCTCAGGCAGCCAGGATCCAAGTATCCTGACATTGCCTCACCTACATTCCGAAGGTAAGCATGGGTCACGTGATGACATGAGGCTGGGAAGATACAAAATGACATATACGTATATACAAATATATTCTGAGACACATATATCTTAGATTCTTTTATTCCATTTTTTAGTACATTGAGTTTTAAGAAACTGATCATCTAAATAGCATAAAAGTGGTGCTCATTTTGAGAAATGCTCATACTTTCCAGTTTTACTATTATTGTACCTGGTAATACTAGAGGCTGAGGTGGGGTAGGGGCTAGGGGGAGGGGCCATGGGTGGTTGTTTGGCTGGCCCCACCCCCTGATCAAATTCCTGGTCAAGCTCCAGGTCAAGGGGACAATTTGCATATTAGCCTTTTATTATATAGGATTAGCAACATAAACAACATTTATAAGAGACTTAAATGCACATAGCAATACCTAGGGGAAGTGAAAAGATAGAGTAATAGCTTGTAAATTTCCATAGATTTTCGTCTCTTTTTTCATGATTAAAAATAAAGTAAAGAAAATAATCTTTATGACTATTATTATTCATTTCCAATATTTGTTATCCTTCTGCTCTTAATGAGTTGATGATCATGAAGCTAGAGGAAGTGTTCCTTGTAACAGAGTATGCTGGACACATTTATGTACTACTGTATCTTGACCTTTTTTGAAAAGTAAGGTAAACTATGATTGACAGAATTTGAAAGCATTCTGATGTTGGGTATAGGATAACAAATAAGGAATGCGCTAGGTTTTCTAACTCTCATCAGCTTTCTTTGACATGAGTGTGGTAAGAAAAATGGCTTGGTTTCTGCACCAGGACTGTCTTTGTTATTGAATATGTAGAGTTCTGCACTGAAATATCACTATCTTTAAATATCTATCTGTTCTAAGTGACAGGAAGAGACATACAGTTAAAGACTTGGGACAAATAGTTAAACCTCTGCGGGTATGTTTCCTCAACTGTGAAATAATAGAGTATGATTTATATGCTATTACATGTTAAGTATTTTTAATGTTTGTTTTTATTATAGTGCCTAAACCAAAAACCTTACTATCTGGGAGGGAAAAAGAGTCTCAAAACATTTGCATTTCAAGCAATCTCAGATACATGATTGTTTGAAAAACTAGAGGGTGTTTTCCTCAGTAGAAATATTAATCCTGAAGAACTGGCTTTTTGAAATGTTGATTCTCATCAGAAAGAATAAACTATGGCTTGTAGTGAGAGTAAATATTTCCATCGCTTAAGTAAAAGCCAGTAGTGCCCTCCAGTGGCCCATTACCTATGAAACAATTTCTCATATTCGTCATAAAATATTTCACTATAGGAAATATGGATTTCATTGCAACTTAATTAGCAATCATTATGCCATTACTTCATATCACTTTATTTCCATATTTACATAAATTTGATAATATCATCTTCACTTACAAAACTAAAATGTTTTCTGAACCAAGCTCCAACATCTAACTTTGCACCAACTATGTTTCAAATCTCTAACAAAAATATGAATTTGAATAGTACTGGCAACTGACATAAAATCCTTTGGCCTTTCTTGGGGAAAATAAAGACCAAGCTGACATGTTGCCAGTAGTGTCAAATATTATTTCTAACCAACTTCTTCCTGACGGTTACTCAGGCCAGCAACTGTGCAACATAACCTCCCAAACCTTGCCTTACGCATTCCTTTTAGACTTGAATAAAGTGTTAAAAATGTTTCTGATGTACCGAATGCGTAGAAGTTGTTTCATTATAATGGTTCTATAAATAGGTAACAGCAAATGCAGTCAAACTACTTAATTTTCGTGAAAGATTCTCAATGTCCCTTACATTGTGAAAGCCAGGGATTTTCATGTCTGGTTGATTTTGGGTTGCCCACTCCCTCCATCCCAGTGTGGACTTACCCTAATGGTGATCTGAGAGATCTTTAGCAGTAGATTAAAAAGTTCAAGCTTACCAAGTTCATTAACATAGAGACAGGAAGTGCTTGGTAGCTGGGGACCCCCAAGCACGCTTGGCTCTGTGTACTGAACCCTTAATATTAAATGTGGATATTAGTTTCTCGGAACAACTGAAGTTGTTATTTGTTTTTCTTTTAGGTTGTTTGGTGCCAAGGCAGGTGGCAAATCTGCCTCTGCACCTAATACTGAGGGTGTGAAATCCTCCTCAGTAATGCCCAGTCCTAGTACCACATTAGCGCGCCAAGGCAGTCTGGAATCACCGTCGTCCGGTACGGGCAGCATGGGCAGTGCTGGTGGGCTAAGTGGCAGCAGCAGCCCTCTCTTCAATAAACCCTCAGACTTAACCACAGATGTTATAAGCTTAAGTCACTCGTTGGCGTCCAGCCCAGCATCGGTTCACTCTTTCACGTCAGGTGGTCTCGTGTGGGCTGCCAATCTGAGCAGTTCCTCTGCAGGCAGCAAGGACACTCCGAGTTACCAGTCCATGACTAGCCTCCATACGAGCTCTGAGTCCATTGACCTCCCCCTCAGCCATCATGGCTCCCTGTCTGGACTGACCACAGGCACTCACGAGGTTCAGAGCCTGCTCATGAGAACGGGTAGTGTGAGATCTACTCTCTCAGAAAGGTGAGCTTTCCTGGAGGCGTTGATGAAGCCCTCACCCCCGCCTCCCCGCACGCTGCCCACCCCCTTCCCCATTAAAGCCCTGTGATTTCAGTGGGACTACCACGTTGCAAAGGGACATAAAATTGATGCGAACGGGCCTTTCATTTGCTCTTATTACCAGATTTGCACAAGAAAAAAAATCTTTAAGGATAGGATAATTGGATAATTAAGTTTCTTGATATGAATTCATACACATACCCAACAGGCAATTGGAATAAAATTCAAAGCATGCACTTATGTCTTAAATGATGTCTTCTCAAGCCACTTTAATGATTTGGCTTAAGCTCCAGGACAACACAGCTCCTTATGGTAATTTAAGCATTTTTAAAGACCAAATTTAAATCGATTCTATAATTATGCTCTGAGCAATATGTTAAATTTGCTTATGAGCACTTCTGTGGAAAAATAGCAAATGGACCACTTTGGAATCCTAGTTGAATTAGAAAAAAAAAATCAATTGTCAGATATGAATTCTTAGAGAAAATTATAATAACGCCAGTGACATTTTTATTAGGCCCCTTGAAAATATATCTCATTACAAGATATTTCTCATTGGTTTAATGAGTTATGGGTTTTTAAAAATTAAAATGAAAAGCATAATGAGGCATTTCTTACCTGATATACTTACTAGAAAGCACCACTGTTGACTAAAGTGGATCTAGATTCTCTCCCCACAAAATTCTTTTCTCATATATTTTGGTATTGACTCATTCCCCCAGGAAAATATCTTAAAACTACCACTTTTTTTTAATGAACTTACAGCTATTTGTTTCTGGGCACACTTAAAGCTTTCAAAGAAAAAAAAGGTCTTGGGCACATACCTTAATCCTGTTATTTGTGAAAGCACTACTAGTCACTGAAAATGCCTGATAACCTTCCCTAAACCAGGAGTGGGGAACGTCCGGCCTGCGAGCCTTAAAGGCCCACGAAATCATTTGGTCTGGTCCTGCCAAGGCATTAGGAGTGAGTTCATTGAATGTTTGACCAAATATACCAGGCTAATTTTTAAGTTGGTAATTTTGTATGGTCTATGAATAATGTTATAAATATACAAATTGCCCTTGGCAAAAAAAAAAAAAGGTCCCCTCCGGACCCTGCCTTAAATCTTTGTCAGTCTAGTATTGATACTGGCATATCACCACTTTTCCAGACTTCCAGCCTTACTCCCAGAATCATTTTTAAAGACATCAACTGAAGCCCTTATCCAAACACTCACTACGGTATACCAGTTGTCCCTCAATGTAAGATTTCCCACTGCTCTTCCCTGTTTCTCTTGCCTCCCTGAAATAAAAACCCAGAGCAAAACATTGCTGCCATCCCACTTACTTCCCACTCCCCTAACAATGGCACATGGACAGCCATGCAAATGAGACTTCCCCTTGAGAAAAGAATTTTAAAGCTAATTGTAACATTGATGCTTGATATTTCTTATGGTAGACTGCTAATTACAAAATATACTTTTCCTCACAAAAAACTGTGCCAGGAGAAACAGAATAAGCAGCTGGGTGATATTTCCCCTCTGGGTTTGTCATTATGGGCAGCATATATAAATACCAGGTGCATACACAAAAGCACTGGTATAAGTACTGTTGCATTTAATTTTTGATCTAAGAAGTTAGCTTCCTACAGCATCTTAGATTTGAGTTTCAGCACTTTACAGGTAAATGGGTATCCTCATATGTCATTTGCAAAAATTCTAACAAGTAAATGAAATTATATTGAAAATATATTAGCAACCTATAGTTTTAATGAATGTATCCTAGATAGTTTACTGATATGTGAGGAATCCAAATAACAATCTTATAACCAAATCAAGCACATTGCAAATAAGTTATTCTTTATTCATCAAAATACCCTCCAAAATACTGATTTTTAATCATAAACATGACTGCAGCAAATTGATTGTTTAGCCATGGACCTATTTCTTTCTCATTCAGACATTAAAAATTCAAAATAATAATCAACTAACTATTTGTAACCAGGTAATTAGCCCTCAAATGAATCCAGATGATATATTTATAATTTTATATATATAACATAAATGCAATGTTAATATTTTACCTTGATCTATATTTTAGAAGCCAATATACATTTTCACTATACAAATGCACTGGCAAAAGGCAGTTACTTATTCTCTTTAAGCAAATCTTTAACTGTTGTGCATTCTTTGAAATAGACCAGTTTTACAAATGAGAGTCTTCTAATATTAGAAATAGCCAGATGAACAATTTTTCTAAAGCAAACTTTAAATTAATTTTGAGTAAGTTAATGTTTGCCATTGATTCTTAGTAAAATATATCGATGACTATTAAACTGTGAAAATTAAATATGATATAAGTATTGATTAGTTCCTCCCAGTAAATTACTGATTTGAAATAATTTTTGACATAAGAAGTTGTACTTTTTCTTTCTTGGGAAAAAAATTGAAAGTAGTTTCTTCTACTAATAGTCCTTCAAAGCACATTCAAAACAGTGTATGATCTATTGAAGAGAAAATTAGATCCTTCAGAGATGCTGGCTTAGTTACAATTAAGCAGTCAGTGGAATGTTGAGAACACTAAGGAAACCAAAATGCCGTACCTGAAAGAAAGTGTGCTGCAATGTAAATACCTGAGACCACATAATCAGAGTCAGGTAATAGAGGGAAACAGAAGCTCATGACTTAACCTTTTCATCTACAATATCTACTTTATTGATATTCGTATTCTAGTACTATTGACTCCGTTTTTCATAAAGATTTTAATTTTTCTTTAAAATTCTCTTTATTATCTTTAAAAGAAGATAAAATATCATAAAATAATAAATAAACCAGCAATAAGCAAACCACAAACCTTTAATAATTTTCTCTTTAGCTACTCTAATCATTGGTAGCCCTTAGGCCATAACCAGTTCATATTTGTTTTGTTTGTTTTGCTTTATGTGACTTAACCAAATTTGAAAAATAATTTAAAGCAGTAACCAACTTCAGAAAGTTCTGGCTTGTCTTTAAATGTCCGATCTGATAAAACGGCGTTCATTGTCCTGCACAGTGTCTCTTGGCTTTAGACAAACAGTGACCGTCCTTTTCAGTTTATTGACTAAAATCCCCACTCCACTCATTTCCATGAACTGCCTGGCCCTTGCAGGCATATGAGTTTGTGATGTTTCGGGGTTTGTGGAAATTGTCTACATTATAAAATCATTAATATTTATATTTAAACAGATAAAACTTTCTACCTAAAGTTTTAACTTACATTGGTAAATTTAAATATATATTTTTTAAGTTTTCTTTCATTAAGTTTCCTGCATGATATAAACATATAATTTTTATACCATTGATAACATTGGAAAAACAGTGCCTATATTCAATTTCCTCTACAATGTTAAACTTTTGTAAATTTGTACACATGAAAAAGATAATTTTTAAAATGGCCTATAATCATATTAATGCTTTAACACAATGTAGTTTAGAGGTTTCTTGTATTTGTTCAGTGTGATTCCTTTTTGTTTGTTTGTTTAGCCACACTACTAAAAATACTTTTACAGTCAAGATATATATTAGAACTGGCCTCTCCATAATACGGTAATTACCTAATGAGGACACTCCCAAAAAATAAAATTAGAGTTTTAGAATGCCTTTGGATGCTTTATATTGCAGAGCCAAATAATGGAGTACACACAGAAGAAAACATTTTAGCTTTGATTTTGAGTGATTAAAATTCAAGTCAATGTGAATTAAATTTCATGTCATCCCATTACGCATATATCCTGTGTATTTAATTTTGATCATTTGAGGTTCTAATGAAAGAGAGCTATAATTCTGCAAATTCAAATTAATTGTATTACTTGGTTATCCACATGCCAGAGATTACAACAGAAATCTCAAGATCTGTCCCGCTTAATTGTTGAAACCCTCTTCCTCTATTTTTAGAGAAGCCATTTCTCATTTTCTCCAGACACATTCTTTCATTTCTTTCTACAACTAATTGAGAATTCCTTTGAGAATTCTTTAAAATAGATAATGATAAAGCATATAGCCTTTAAAATACCTAATTTATAATTTCCAAAAATGGTATAGTTTAATTTCATTAAAATATGTAAATAAATGATGCCAAGCACGTTAAGTTTCAAGCAGATGTTTATTATATAGCATTTGTTCTTTTATATGAACATGGGAATAAATCTCCCTTGGTTTTTATTAAAAGTAATTTGAATACAAAAATAAATACTAAATAATATTTGTATCTTCTCTGCCTCTTGGAACTTGTCAATTTAACTTAATAGAGCAAGTCTATCTCGATTCTACCTCTATGTTTCTCTTGCATAGCAGAAGTCTAGTTAGTGGCATGAAGAGAAAAAAACCTATAAACTATTAGGTGAGTGGCATGAAGAGAAAAAAACCTATAAACTATTAGGTGAATAGAATATTGAGAGGAATTATTCTAACATATGATTTAATCTATGTTCTAATAATCCTGTCACTAAATTGTAATTGATTGTAAATGGGTTAGAAAGGAGCACACATGTGTTGCAACAGTAGACATCTGGTCACCTTTGGTAGTCCTTTTTCAAAGAGTTAAGCATTAAATATATGTTTCAAAAAGTTTATTTTGTGTAGTTCAAACAGAGAACCATTTTTGTTGGATGTGTAACTTGGAAGTTTTGTTTACATTATGTCCTTAGGGATTTTCTTTGTTTTAACAGCATACAACTTGACAGAAATACACTACCCAAAAAGGGACTAAGGTATATATTCTCTTGGCACAATTGCTGCCTTTCTTTCTCTGTTGTTACTTAAACTGTGTGTGCTGTCTTTCTTCCTCTTTGTTTGTTTGCGGTGAAGCGCCTGATATTGAGGATGATATCACTTTTAAACCTTTCTCAGGCCTGAGGAGTAGGTGAGATAGCCCTCAGGTAGAGAAGCTCATAGAGGACGAGACCCAAGTTAAATCCAATGTAAATACCATTTATGGGGGCAGCAACTTTGGTAGAATGCAGAAATCACTTCTGGAAATTAAAATTAACTTCCCTAACTTCTGCATGTTGGGGGCATATGCTTGCAAAACCTCAAATCCCATATAGTGTAAGGATGTGGCCAGGTAATGTTGAAAGGATGCTTTAATTTGAAGCAAGCAAAATACATTTTCATCATCAGAGGACAAATACTATAATTAGGTATGAATTTTTAATGAATCCTTTTGGTAAAAATTCAAGAGCTTTAATTTCTGTTTTTTTAAGAGTGCTTATATGTATCAGATTAATTTAAATATTAATTAGTCTAGTGTTACATAATCTCAAAATAACTTTTCAGTTCATCATAAAAAATAAAAAATAAAATATAATTCATGCCCATCATTGTTGCACACTTTTATCTGAGGGGGAGATATAAAATGAACTATAATGGAGCTATGGCACCGTATGAACATAAAAAATTGATTGCTCTTTGGTGCTAAGAATTTACTTATTCTGGTGAAAGTGAGTACTGGCCAAGTAGGTCTTCCACAGTATCCCTTTTATCTCCAGTTCCTTAGCAATAGCAAACAGCTTGCAATTAGTCCATTTTAAGATTCTGTTCTATAGTGTATCTATAATAATAAAAGTGTAATATGCTAATTAGACCAGACGTCCTTCCGGATGACCTTCCTGATGAAGCCAGGGCTACGAGGGCTGAGGCAAGCCACCGTGGCTGCGAGGGCCAAGCCCCTTGCACAAATTTTGTGCATCGGGCCTCTAGTTTTCTAATAAAGTAAGAACATTCTCCCCCTCCTTTTTTAAAAAAAATCTAAATATGATGTCAAGTGGCATTTTAACCAGTAAATATATTAGCTGTTAATTTATGTTCCATTCCCTCTGCTTTTCTATGACCATCACTCCAATTCCCTTGTCCACCATTTTCGGTCTATGTTTTCACCCTTTTCGAACCCTCCTAAGCACTGTGCTTCTGAGTCCTTCTCAATTAACTCGGCTGCCTGCTCATTGTTTATAGTTTTCAACTACATCTCTCACAAAAGCATACTTTTTTTTTTCAAAATTCTCTTTTCATTTCCCTGTGAGATTCAAACAGATGGTGTCAAATCATCTGGAAGAACTAAGCACTTATCATTCAATTCAATCTATTTGAGAATGTTGTGTAGTCTGAACAGTAAGCTCCTCTCACTTGCTTCCCTCCCTGGCTGTTGCTTTGCCCCTTTAGATGTGCTTAAGTGTCTCAGCTGTGCTGTTTTGCAGATACACCCCATCATCTCGGCAGGCCAACCAAGAAGAGGGCAAAGAGTGGCTGCGCTCCCATTCCACCGGAGGGCTGCAGGACACCGGCAGCCAGTCGCCTCTGGTCTCCCCTTCTGCCATGTCAGCGTCAGCAACAGGAAAATACCACTTCTCAAACTTGGGTAAAATAGTCTAAAACAACATTCTCACCTCATTCCTTTCGCCACCCACCCTCACAGGAGCTCCCGTGTCTCTCTCCAAAATTGTTTATTTAAAGAGGCGATAAAGGCACCCTAGGAGTACTTTTATTTGTGTGATTACTTACTGTTCAGAAAATAAATTCCAAATAGTATGCAGTCTGTTGCTCATGACAACAACTTGACATAGGTTGTTATTTTACAGTCTAAGATCCCAGGGGCACAGGCCTGAAAAGAAACCCCACCACTAGTAAGAAGCAGAGACAATCATTGGTTCCAACACCCGACTCCAAGCCTAGGGGAGTTTTTACACTTTAAAAGGAGTAAGACATCTCCTTGTGTTTTCTTTAAAATGTATTTAAAAACCCTTATAACAAAATTAATCATCTTATTTGTAGAAAAATAGAAATAATTATTAAAGTTAAAATCCTCAAATGCATATGAAATTTTCTACTAAATTAATGCACTGTGAAAAACTTTGGACAAATATGATAAAAAAAAATCACTAACTAGCTTAGCCATTGGATTACTTTGTGCTTAGTATCAATTGTATAGAAGATAAAATCATTGATATAAACACAAGGATGTAAGAAGTTTAAACATGCTAGTTATTATTTAATAGATCCATTTTTTCCATCCAAAATACATTTTTGGGTAAAACTTTACGATTGATGACAGTCCCAGTGAGGCATCTCAAACCTAGTAAGACTCATTGTCATCTTCCCACGAGTGATAACAATTGCTCAGATTGTTTTTTCACCTTGTGCAAGGGTTACCGATAGAAGATTTACTATCAACCTGCAACTGCCAAGTTCTGTGTATTTGGTGGACTCTCCTGCATACAGAGTGATGTTTAAACACCCTTTCATGGAAGTGCTATGTATCTATGTTTGTGCTCCCAGGGGTCCCTCCACCTTGAATGACTTTCTACCTCACTTTCTCTGCTCACCCTTCAAGCTATTCAGAATTAACCCCTTTCTTCTAGACTCATGGAAACATAGAATCTTAGCTGGAAGAGACCTACATCAAAACTCAAAATGATAGTCTTTGCCTGGAAGCTTCGGAAATTTAGTTTTCTTGTTTTTTCTTTTCCAATTAAAGTGGTATATTCTTCTCTAAAAGGAAACCTGCAGACTCTAGGAAGACAATCTTTTCTTCATAGGCTACCAGAAAATGTCATGTTATATTTCTAGCATGAACAATAGAGGTAACTTGCTGGTTTTGTTTAGTGATTGACATACTGCTCTCATGAAAGTGCTGGGAGAAAAGAGCTGCACCTGTTAGTGACCATTTCAGAGGCAGACTCTTGGCTTATCTTAAACAGGGACGCCCTATAGATTTATGCTTCCATAAGAATCGGAATCACGTTTTCACTTTCTATCAACCTGCTAGTTTTATCATCCAAGCCCCATAATAACAGGCTATGTGTGCTTTGTTTTTCAGTGAGTCCAACAAATCTGTCTCAATTTAACCTTCCCGGGCCCAGCATGATGCGCTCAAATAGCATCCCAGCTCAAGACTCTTCCTTCGACCTCTACGATGACTCCCAGCTCTGTGGGAGTGCCACGTCTCTGGAGGAAAGGCCCCGTGCCATCAGTCATTCAGGCTCCTTTCGTGACAGCATGGAAGAAGGTAGGTGTGGAGGGAGATACAAGTGAGGTTACTTTATTTAACTCTGAGATTAAAACTATCACATCACTCATATCACAAGAATTCCTGAAGAGTAAATAAAGGAGTGTGTGAACTCTTATATGATGAGTCCTGAAGCTTGAAGAAGTTTCAATTTGCATTACTTTTTCTTTCTTTATGTATTTGGAAATATGCCAGAAATTGTTTCAATTAATACTGGACTATAGAATAGTTCAGAATAAATTCTCATGCAAAAAATTACTATTTGCCCTCACGTATCAAATGTCAGAGTGAATGTTTTGTTTGACATCTCTGTTAAAGGGCCACAAGGATATAAGAACCAGAAAAAACTTATCTTATGAAACTACCATGTTCTCAGAAACTCCCTCTTGTGTTAGTTTTATATCATATCATTTTTAATTCATATTGTATCTACTTTTTGCTTTATAAGTTACATTTCCTTATTTAATGCAATGAAATTCTCACCTGTCCCAATAAATTTATTTGTATTTGTAAAGTGCTACATGAACACTTTATAAAAAATTCAGGAGGCTTAGTTGATTTTCAAATGTATATAATTTTCTAAACTATAAAACCTCAAATGTCAAAGTTGATAATAATCCTGGGAGACTTTCCTCTTTGATTTAATGAATGATTTTTTAAGTACTCATAAAGGAAACGTGGCACTCACATTATAAAGCATATCAGTTAAAGGTAGAATAATAGTAAATGTATAAGTTCAAATTGATTAGAATAAAATCAAACATTAAATTGTCCGTACTCTGCTATCCTATCTAATAATAGAGAGACATGGTAATTAACCGTAACTTCGCTACCCTTCCCATGGGCTAATCAGCGAGATATGCACATTAACTGCCAGCCAAGATGGCAGCCAGCAGCCAGGCAGCTGAAGCAAACATGAGGCTTGCTTGCTTCAGTGATGAAGGAAGCCAAGGTTCCCCGCCTGCCACAGCCCAGCTCTGAGCTCCGGATGCAACAAAGTTGCAATTATGGAACCTAAACAAACCCCAGGTACCTGCTTTCAGCCAGCACGGCCTCAGAACTTAGAATGGCCAGTGATGGCAACAGAGTTTCAATTATAGAATCTAAACAAACCCAGATACCTGCTTTCAGCCGGCAGCGGCCTCAGAGCTGGAGCCGGCTCTCAGCTCCAGTGACAGCTATAGAAGGTAAACAAATCCCAGAATAAAAAAAAAAGAAAAAAGGAGAGGCTGGGAGCTTCAGTCACCCACCAGCCTGAAAACAGCCCTCAGCCCCTCACCCAGACTGGCCAGGCACCCCAGTGGGGACCCCCACCCTGAAGGGGATGTGACCAGCTGCAAACAGCCATCATCCCCTCATCCAGGCTGGCCAGGCACCCAAGTAGGACCCCCACCCTGATCCGGGACACCCTTCAGGGCAAACCAGCTGGCCCCCACCCGTGCACCAGGCCTCTATCCTACATAGTACATGGGTAATATGCAAACTGACCCTAACAGCAGAAGGACTGGGAATGACTGATCACTATGACACACACTGACCACCAGGGGGCAGACGCTCAATGCAGAAGCTGCCCTCTGGTGGTCAGGGCGCTCTCACATGGGAGGAGCTCTGCTCAGCCACAAGCCAGGCTGATGGCTGCCACTACAGCGGTGGTGGTAGGAGCCTCTCCCGCCTCCTCAGCAGCGCTAAGGATGTCCGACTGCAGTTTAGGCCTGCTCCCCGCTGGCAAGTGGACATCCCCCGAGGGCTGCCGGCTGCCAGAGGGATGTCTGATTGCCATCTTAGGCCCAATCCCCCGGGGAGCAGGCCTAAGCCAGCAGGTGGTCATCCCCTGAGGGGTCCCAGACTGCAAGAGGGCACAGGCCGGGCTGAGGAACCCCCCCTCCCTCCCCCCCCGAGTGCACAAATTTTTGTGCACCGGGCCCTCTAGTTCCTTAATAATTATGTATAAAAGAAAGGACTTCTGGTCTTGAAACTTTCTAGGGCTTAAGCCTCTGGCCATCCATTTATTTGTGGAATGAACATGAGTAAATTTCCTAACTTTATTACCCCTAATTTCTGCACCTGTAATTCTGCAGGTTTGTTATGAGGATGAAATTAAAGAATAGTTTTGTTCCTTTCTCTGCCCCCTCCCTACCTTCTTATTTAAAGTATCTCTGATGGAAAGCTCAGGCAGCTGTGGAAATTAGCTCATGGTTTTCAGGTCACCGCTGTGTGCGTAAGGTGCTGGCACTAAATCACTTCACTGCAGTTGCCACTGCTTTTGGGATAGTCACCAAACCACTGAGCTCACTGTGAGAAAGAGTGGGTTCTACCCTGAGAGTCGCCTGATTACTGCAGTGCAGATAGAAAAAGAGATAAATAATCTCTAGTGTTCTCTGCTTTTCTGAAATGGTTCTATCACCCTCTTCATAGGCAGGCCCCTTATAATACTGCAGAAATAACTTGCGAAGCATGCTGATGGGTTTCTAGAGTGCCTCATTTGCAAACAGAATGCTGTTCATATGCTGGGAGACTCTGGCCTTCCATTTAGGAGGATTAAATAATCTGCATTTCTGGACAAGAGCCTGAGTGGGCAAGATGGCTTTTTGATGGCTATGCATTGAATACTGAATTATTATAATTCTTAAAGTGTGGTCTAGAATCAAGGAATCATTGACCTAGAGAGATAGAAGGGAGTTTAATGATTCATTGGCCAATGCTCACAGTGAGAGATGAGGAAACTAAGCCACAAACTCTAAGATCATAGACCTGTAAGTATTAAGTGATCATAAGTAATACATTAAATGGCAAAAATACTGCAAAAGTAGCAGAAAATTAACTGAAAATGGATCTCCAGATTCATCGTTCACCTTTTTCCTGGTATACCTCACTAGTTCACACCAGGTTGAAAGAATGTGCTTTAAAAAAAAAGGCTAACATTTTGCAGGTCTCACAGAATGGTAATATTTGCAGTTTTCCCCATCCTCTCCAGACCAGGGTGTAAGCACCTCCCAAATGTTCTTGTCATACCATCATTGCTCTCAATCATATTTATGTTACTCTATTATAGTCATCTTTTTAGTTGTGTATCTTTCTACTTCTTTTTAAGCTCCTAGGATAGTGTCATTCATTTTGTAGTTCCAAGATCTAGCAAGCGCCTGTCAGATTGTGTGTACTCAGCTAATGTTTATTTAATGGATCTGTAAGCAGAAATAACTTCATAACATCCCACAGTGAAAAGATGAAGGACTTTTCTACAAATATAATCAAGCACAATTTTATCCACATTTTGGGCTTAATATAGTGAATGTGCAGATATATACAGCACTCTGTTAACTGAGATGGTATTTTGATATACTGGATAAGAAACACTATGCAATTTCCATTCTTAATTTCAGTAAGACACCACCTTGAAATAAGAAGTATTTTTCTATCACTAAAATTACAAAAGAAACAATAATTCTCCATTTAAAATTCATAATTAACTCATCAGAAATAACGAAATACCAAACTGGATAAAATTCTTACTTGCCTAAAAGTACATGGAGAAAAATATTAAAAATGTATTTTTGTTGTATAAAAAAATAAAATCAAATACATAAAGCTTTTTAAAGTTTTAAGGTTTATGGCAAGTGTAGTTCAGGTTTTTTTATTTTCTGATTATTAACTCTGTAGGCGTTTACTATAGTTTTCAATATGTGCAAAGCATCCCCTCTATAACATGATAAATAAGGTATTTTAGGGGATAGGTATGCAATCTTTCCATGTCTCAACGTTTTATGTACAAAAATATGACAACAGACTTATTCTCGGGTTCTTTTGTCTAGCAGTTCCGATTTTATTCCCCTGTTCTTCACTCTCATAAAGACATGGTGTTCCGGAGCAGATGCTTCAATCTACCTCTTGTTCTCTTTTGTTTCCCTCAGTTCATGGCTCTTCGTTATCACTGGTGTCCAGCACTTCTTCTCTTTACTCTACAGTAAGTATTGCTGTTAAGGAAAAGCTTCTGCCTTTGCCAAGCATACACGTGATTAAGGAGACTGACATTTACACAGAAGTTGCGCAGTGAAATAAGGGCTGTAAGTGAAATACTCTAAGCTACTGCATCCCCGATAAGCTGGCAAGTACTGTAATAGCTCTTCTGTGGCCCCCTTCCCTGTGCTTCCACTTGACTTCTGTGTACTCATCATAATCCATTTATGGAAGGAAAACTGAATTTCACAAAACCTGTTAGGGTATAACTTGGAGTCCCTGAAATCATGTAGTATGCTCTACCATAATTGTATAATATTGAATTGTTTTCCTTGTTTGGTTCCCTGAGCTGTGACTGATCATTGCATTGTCCTATGGTATTTTTTTATTGTATTTTTAAAGTTTGTTTTTTTTAAATATTATACCAAAGGATGAGGGCTTCAGAAGCTTAGATATTTTTTATAATCTTCTGAAATAGAATGTAGTTTTTAAAACTTTATTTCTTAAGAGAGAAATGCCAGTTTGTCAACTCATTTTCCCAATATGTGAAACTGTATTTTATTTTTACCAAGGTGAGTTTTCAGTCTACTTAACAGAATTTAATATTTTTTTAAAAAATTAGTCTTTAGGATTTTATTTTTATAGGAGGGTTCTTTCATGCCTAGGTAAGAGACTTGAGTAGTATGAATAATTATTAATCCAGCATTGAAAGATTCATAAAAAGTTCACAGCTGTGGCTGTTAACTGAGCAATTAAGCATTAAGGGAAATACTGATTTTTTTTCACTCTTTTTGTTAGGTTCAAATGTTATATCCCTCTTTTTATAAATTCATCTTAATATTTATTGCTTTACATAGTTACTCAAAATTAGACTATCACCAGCAAAGACAATATTTTTTTTATCATTTCTCCTTTTAATGATTAAAATTGCCAATAGATTCTATAACTGAAGAAATCACTATTAGTGTTTAGATAAATCTACTAAGTTAGGCAACTAGATAAAGAAGTGAGAAATGTGAAAATGTATTGGGAAAAATGCCTAAGAGGAATATGTTAAGAGCTAGTATCCCTCCTATTGAGCTAATGCCACTATTTATCAGGGAGATGTATTCTGACTGAAGCCATTATAACTAAAGTCTCTAACATAAAAAAATGCAGCATCATTATAATCATACTGGAGGGGTGCACAAAATTTGTGCATGGGTAGGGTCCCTAGGCCTGACCGGCAATCAGGGCCGATCGGGCCTTCTGGTTCCCAGCTAAGGCCTCCCTTCCCTGGCTTCCGGCTGCTGGCCAAGGCCTTTCTTCATTCCGTGCCGCCCCCTGGTGGTCAGTGAACATCATAGCAAGTGATAGAATTCCCTGCCTCCTGGTTGAACTCCTGCAGGGACACTTTGCGTGTTAGCCCTTTATATTTATAGATTTTAAATATACACAAATTTTAAATATTTTGTAGCAACATTTGGATAAAACTACCTTTATGAAACATAAGAAAAACTCAACAATAAAAAGAGCATGGGTAGAAGAAAACAGATGGCTAATTAGTGTATAACAGAGTCCAATCGATCTTCTGTGGTAATAAAACTGTTCTATAACTGCACTGTCTAATAGAGTAACCACACATGACTATTGGGTATTTGAAGTGTGTCTCTCTTGTGACAGAAGAGTCAAAATTTTTTAATTTAATTAATTTAAACTTAAAAAAGCATATATGTCAAGTAGCTACTATATTGGATATTGCAGGTTTATTGGGAACAAAGGAAGTACATTTAAAAAATGCTTCTCATTTAAGTTAGGAAACATAAGTGAGAAGTATTAAGAGTGCAATATGAAATGTGAACAGAGATGAAAATAAAGAGACTATATACACAAATTTATTGGCCAACATTTAGAGATGAATTGGGTCCTGGTGTTAAGTATGAAAAGCCACATGGTTAGGTGATCAAGCCACATGAGAAGGTGATATTATTAGGAAATTAGTAAATTTAAATAGTTGTATTAGAAATGATGTAAATTATATACTTGAATTAACAAGTAACCTGCAATAAAACAATGCATAATTGGAGAATTAATAAAGAGAAAAATTAGAGATCATGAGGAGTTATTTTATCTCTAACCCTCCTTACCATGCACTGAGATTTAATTGACAATGATAAAATATCTGTGGAAGTGCTTTTTAAATAGGAAGTGAAAAGGCAATTTATCATTATTTTTATGCCTTCTTAAGGACTCTGGGTAAAGATTCTGTTGATTTGCATTCTTGCCTGACTATATGAGTAATTATTATGTGGCATCAGGCAAGTTGCTAAATTTCTTTGGACTATACCTATAAAATCAAGTTGGAAAACAGCAGACAGATGTACCCATGGTTTTTCTGAAATAATTAGATAAGACCAGGGACATTGTATACCATAAATCACAAAATGTTGTTAATTGTGTGGTTCTAGAAAGCACCATTTATATGATAGTCCATGTAATAGTATCATTTGAAGTATGCCCTGCACAACTAACACAACTGTACACGGTGTCCCTTCGTACAATAATTAGTGTTTAATATAGATGATGTGTTGTAGAATTGTGCACCTGAAACCCGTATAATTTGTTAACCAGTGTCATTCCAATAAATTCAATAAAAAGCTGGGGGGTTGGGGCGGAGAAAAAGAAAAAATAATAATTAGTGTTCAGGAAGAAAAAGTTTCCCTTTTTGCACGAACATTAGGCACTATCTCTATTAGGTAAACTACTCTTTCTATTAAACATGGGTATAAACCATGTTTACTGCAATGCTCTCATTTATGCAATTTATGGAATTACATATTTTGCTTTAAAATATTAAAACACACTAACAAAGATGGCTTGTTGGGCAGAAACTTTACCTGTAAAATCACCAATCTAACAAATCCCATTGGAAGAATTCTTTCTTCACACGTAGCTCTACTAAAACCTCTACCAATTATAATTGGGAAAATTTTTCATTTGTATCTTGTTATAAAGTGTGTAAATCACCTTCTAGAATTCCTGAGCCAAAAGATTCTGGGAGGTTGCAAACTCATTACAAATAACAGTCTGATCTGCCAAGTTATTACCTTTCTGTGCTTGTTTTTTAATCCAGACCAACACTGTGAAATCTGAGCTTTGACTTAAAAAAAATTAAATTTATTTTTAAAAATAAACAAAATATCTAAAAACATTGAGATGAAATTCCTCCGGGTTACAGTCCCCTGGCATCGCCCCCTTTAGATATTGGCATGTGCTTTCAGGCCAGTCTCAGTCTCCACCTCCTCTTCTTTTCGTCCTGAAGTTGAGTTTGGTTGTTATTATTGTGCTATGGATTTCTCATAGGAAAGGAAAACTCCTCATTATCCATATACTACTTATGGAAAGTGAGAAAATAAAAGGTAGCCTAGGAAGCTATGCAATTTTATTCTTAGGTTCCAGAACCCTTTTTATTCTTTTTTTGAAATATATTTTATTGATTTTTTTACAGAGAGGAAGGGAGAGGGATAGAGAGTTAGAAACATCCATGAGAGAGAAACATCGGTCAGCTGCCTCCTGCACACCCCTTACTGGGGATGTGCCCGCAACCTAGGTAGATGCCCTTGACCGGAATCAAACCTGGGACCCTTCATTCCACAGGCCGACTCTCTATCCACTGAGCCAAATCGGTTAGGGCCCTTTTTATTCTTCATATGCCTGAACCTGTAATGCATTTACACTTTTCTATTTTTGCAATAGTTGTTTTCTGAATGGCTATATTGTATATTAAAAACTTTATTGAACCTGATTTGTGGTTGGAATCTAATTTGTGTTGGTATAATAAGAGCAAGGGCCATGCTTAGTTTATTGTAGAACCCTTTAGTATTTTTACTAAGACACAGCTAATACCAAAGTAAATACATTTTTTAATTTGTAAATTTGAACAGATGAATGAATGGCCAAACAATGGCTTACAGAATAATGAATAATCTCATATATATTTTTTAGGTAAGGTATTTTATAATGTTTACCATCCTTCAGTACATTGGGCCTGCTTTAAAATCATTGTTTAAAATGGAAAGTAATATCATGCCATGCCTAACCCACTGGAAAAAAAAATAATATTCTTGTTTATTGCTTCAACTTTATAGTAACACTAACCAGTATTAACAGCCAAGTGTGGGAAAGAAGGTGAATATTATAGCAAAAGATAATGCTAAAAAATCAGCAATGAGAAAAGTCATTATATACAGTATATAAAGAATTAATATATGTAATAATTACTTTTATAACTAGTATATGTAACTTATCCTGGGCATGTTTAATGAAAAAAAGTGACCATTTCCTGACTATTTATAAAATATAGAATACATTGGTGGCTTGAAATACACAAGTTATTTATTGAGTATTAGTTTCCTATAATCTTAAACTGGCAATATATATACATTTGGGCAGAATAAATCAGATAGTCATAGTTAATTGTGTTCTATATCGTATGGCAAACACCCTGCAGCTTTCTCTTGATTTTATGAAATTTTTATTTTAAAATGTCTCCCCTACTTATGATTCAGAAACCAAACTGATATGAAACCTTGACATTATTAAATTTTAAAAATGTTTTTACTTAAAAAATTAAAGTTGAGATGTAAATATTCAAGCTTTATGTTAGCATTTATTTTTTAAAAATTTTCTTATAAAGGCTACTAAGATTCCACTACTTAACCACTTTTTTATTTAACCACTATATTACTAACCATACATTATTTTTAAGAGTAGAGAAATAGGAAAGACAAAACTCAAAAGATGCTTACACATAAAAATATTTCAGTGTTTAAAATACTTTGTTGTGCTTTATGTTTTCTGGAGGAAAAGAAGATATAAAGATATAAAAAGTGGTTCCGATATTATCTGCATCAATTAATCAGGCCATACCCCCCAAAAGAGATAAGAGATTGTTTTTCAGCTTTGGATCTGCTCAAAGCAATAAGCAGACTTGTACTGTTCAGCGATATTATGCATCCTCCAGCTTCTTCCAGAATGAGAGAGCTCCCCAAATGGAACGGGGCACACAATTCATACTCTGGCATTTCGCAGCCCAGCACAAAGAAGGAAAGCAGAGCTGGAGTCTTCTGCAACTGAAGCCAAAACGCTCCTCCGGTTTCTACAGCAATCCTCCTTTGCATAATCTGCATTAACTGATTTTCCTCAGCCGCTTTGATCACCACCTTAACCCTGGATATCTTAGTGTTTTTCTGACTTGCAGCCAAATAAACATAATTAATAATCATTAGGAAAACTAAAAGAAAATAGAAACTAAAGACCTGATTTCTGTGGTTATTAGTAGAGGTCAGTATTTTTCCTGCAGCTTTATTGGGCATTCTTTATGATCTATAAATCACAGAATAAAATTAGAACTCCTAAAACTTGGCTGCAGATCCCTATAATTTCATGGAGTCTGCATCCTATAATCTGAATTTTAAAAATCCAACATTTTTAACCTTATTTTTTTTAGAGTATAATTTTACAACTATTTTGTTTTTGGTCTGGATCTTAGAGCAATGCTATCTCAGTTTTATCCTTTGCTTTTAAGGCATATTATATATCCATAAGTCAAATAACCTATATTTTAAAGTACTACATGGCTTATATATAAAGAAATATTCACTTGTAATTCTAAAGGTCCCTGTTCTTACTGTTTTAATATTATGCATTTTACTATATTCTTGTTAGATCATAATATTTTAAATACAAAGTATAATTATTTTACGTGTGAAATGAATTGACATTATAATATTTTTTTTGCATTTCTCTTTTTCAGGCTGAAGAAAAGGCTCATTCAGAGGTAAAAAGCTTGTAGCGTTTTTACTTTTGACTACGATCTTATACATTTATGCTGAAATGAGGTTTTCCCCCACTAGAGGGCTCTGCTACAATAGCATACCCCTCCAGTTATGGATACAAATAACTGAAGTAGTTGATAAAAGGTCTTGGATATTTCCTCATAAAGAAAATGAAAGGCAGTGTTTAGAAGCAAACTCTCCTCTCACATTATAGATTGGAGACTTAGCTAATAAATTGTGTCTAGTAGCAAGCACTCCTAAAATCTTTGATGGATGAATGAGTGTGCAGTCTTTCTATTTTATTAGTCTCTTTTCCCTCACAGCCTATAAAACTAACTGCATAGGCTTGAGGAAACTATTGAATCTTGAGCTGCAGACCTCCACAACACAGGCTACCAGCATCCCAGCCTATCTTGTTGGTGCCAGGACTTTGCTGCCTGTAGTCACCACTTTCTGTCTACTGTGGTATATTGTTCTAATCACATACATTCAGAAATACACACTTCCTTGCAATCACATACAAATGAGAATTCAACCTGGAGAGAATATTCTTCTTCTGACTCTTTGTATAAGAGTTGTGTTGGCCAAGAAGAGCAGGAGGACTTTAATTAGGCCTTTATTTAAGGCACAGTAATGACTATTTGATTGCTTTACACTGAGGCAATCAGACCACAGAGAAAATGAATGTCTTGAAAACAGTCTCTACAAAGGAACGCTTTCCTTTGAAGTCATATTTTATTGCCTTTAATGTAAAAATTGTGATGTGCTTCAAAATACTGAAAAAGTATTGATTATGCCAATTTGATCTTTGCAATTGCTAGACCAAACAAGTGATTATGGTGTTTTTTTTTAAAATTTATTGTATGGACATAACAAGGCTTCTAACATTGATCATAATATAGCTACTGAAGTATAAAAATGCCACTTATTCTTGCCTTATTAGTAGTTATCCAACTCCCCTTTTATCATTCGTGTCCCATAATGAGTCATGGTTGTTAAAAAAATAATTTACAGTACTTATATAATAGAGACTGCTAATTTGAGAAAGCTTCTTTGAATTTGGTTTAAGAACAATATGGATTCTTTGATTTCTGGACTATTTGGTCATCATCATAGGAATGTGACTCAAAAGTTAATTGGGGCTGGGATGTATCTCTTTTAAAAAAAAGGAGTGGAAAGGAATCTCATTTTACGAAATTATAAAAATGTCCTCTATCTCTGCTTTCAGCTTCCAGCTCACTTCTTTTTTAGTCTCTCAATATTGACCACCATTTATTCTCCATAAAAAGAGAATGTGAAGGGGGATAAAAGGAAAAAGACAAGTAATGAACTGTGTCAAGAATGCTATTTCAAACTAAGGCAATATTACAAAAGTCCAAATACAACCAAAGAAGACTTGTTTTTGTAAAAATGGGAAGCATTAGAGTAGATTATGTGGCATTTAAATAACTAGAATCCCTTGAGACCGAAGTTTACTTGTTGACTTATAAATGCTGTACCTTTATGAATCATTTTATATTTCATGGCAACATGAGACATGCAGGTTAAACTGTGAAAGTGCTTAAATTAAAATTTTAAATATAATATCATATATTCTTCTAGTTTTCTGGTTCAGTTTTATTCAAGAGTGAACTTAACTGAAATGGAAAACATTTTTGCATATTTATTTTGTTGTTTTATTTAGTTGCTAGAGGCCTGGTGCACGAAATTCGTGCACTCGGGGGGCAGGGGGTTGTCTCTCAGCCTGGCCTGTGCCCTCTTGCAGTCCAGGAGCCCTCGGGAGATGTCCAACTGATGGCTTAGGCCTGATCCCCACGGGATCAGGCCTTAGGCCAGCAGTTGGACCTCTCCTTAGCGCTGCTTGTGGAAGGCGGGAGGAGGCTACCGCCACCACCACTGCTTTCGCCTGCCATGAGCCCAGCTTCTGGCTGAGTGCACTCCCCC